ATTAACTAGGTAAGGTGACTAACTCAGTTATTAATAATAAAAACATGCCTGCATTAGAGTTGGATAGATTATAAAGTATGTGCACCTATGCCATCTCAACCAAATCTTAAAAATAGCAAAATAAACTTAATAGTAAAACCTGACTGAATACAATATTTGATGATTCATTATGAACAGAAACTTTATACTTCAAGTTTCAAAAAAATTTCCAGTTGACATAATATACTCCCAAATAAACTAACTTCTACCAGACCAACAAGCCTCACGGGATGAGTGGTTTGTCACCGCTTATTGCTCAGATTTCTTTCTATTCCATGGTCCTCAATGGATATACACTATAAGAAAGACTGCAGACTTTCAACAGCTTGTTTGGAATTCATCAACTATGTTTTACAAATTCTGTAATATACTACTTATATTTTTTATAGCTAGAACTCCTGGACCACATTTACATGTGAGAAATACTTTGCTATCATTTCTCATTCGGTATATGCTCATAATTATAAAGTTGTTGCTTTTTTCCTACCCTGGTTTTTAGGGACAGCATTTGGTAGGGAAGAAAATGATGATTAGTGGGGAACACAGGTACGCAGACCAAGACAAAGGAGAAAGGTTTAGATGGCTCATTAGAGTTCCTCTTTCCCCATCTTCCTTTCACTTTCTGTCTTCTCACAGCGTCTGTACCAGCCTCCCCCTCCTGCAGAAGGACCCTTGTCTTTGATTTGACAATGTGACACACATTCAGCTAGAATTCCCATCATCATTCATTTAGAAAAGGCAAAAATGAGTGTCTGTGCTTCTAAGAAGGCACAGCAATGAGTTTATATAGCAAAAGTGTATGAACAAGTATATTACCTATTTAATTGCCTTAGCTGAACTTAAAAGCTCTGATCTTTAATTGCCTGATTGAACTGATCTAAAAAGCTACAATTTTTTAATGAAGGAGAAAATTAAATAGCTTTTTGGTAAACAAAAAGACATCTTTAATGTTATTTTTATGGAATTCAAGTTATTAAATATGGACAAAACCTCTAAAATACTAAGTTAACAACTACTCAATCTAGAAGAAATTTCTTATTATGATGCTTTACAAAGTCTTCAGGGACACCTGGCTTCTTCTACTCTTCAATAAAAACATATGCTTTTAAATCCAGAAGGTAAAAGTTTCCATGAATAACTAAGAAACTCGAAAGCTAAACATATAAATACAGTTAATGGCGTGTATTACCGCAGCGTATTTATTTCTCAAGTTGAGCACCCACAACTACAGGGAAATAACTATTCATCTGCACTATCACTCATTCACTAGTCTTTCCACCTACACAGACAGAGATGCACATCATTCACTGGTATTTATTTACAAATGAAACTCCTTGAGCGATTTTGTTGGCCCACTTGCACTGCCCCTACTTGGTCCCTCAGGTATCTTCTTCAACAACTAGCGGTATTTCAAAATAGGTGTTCTCTGTGAGAATTGGGCTGGCCAGCATAGGCTGAAAAGAGAAGTATGGGCTCAGGATTCCCTTTTGAAACCTCCATGCCCTCCATCAGCCAAACCACTAAGGCCCTCGTGCATCACTGATCAAAAAACCCTCTAAATTGCATCCAGAGCTGGGAAGAAGGATCTACCTGCCTCTGAGAGGCTCTGGTCAACCACATCTGTGATCACATAGTGGCTGTACCAGGAATATGACAAATACACTAGACTTTATTCAACCATTTCTACACATACAATTCAGTGACATTGATTACATTCTTCTAGTTGTGCAACCATTTTCACCCTTTTTTTCTGAATTGTTCCTCTCCCATTAACATAAACTCACTGCCCTCTGAGGTTCCTATCTAATCTTTTGAGTTGCCATTGCCATTTTCATCTCATATAGATAGTTCTTAAAAGAGCATAATGCTTAAGGCAGATAATTTTTACTAGTTAAGCTAAACTATTGTTTGCTTTTAAGATGACTTCAAGCGACATTTTTGGTTTAAGGTTTAAAGATTAACTCAAGGCAATAGTTTCAGGGATTCATCCAGCCCCCTTACTCCAGAAGTCTGGATTCCATGATAATTTGAAATCTGTGTTCTGCATTTTCCCCCCTTTTGGTCAGGATTCTTCTATGGAATCTTTGATCAAAATGTTCAGTAATGGTAGCCAAGCACCATCAAATTCTTCTGGTCTCACGGCAAAGGAGGCAGTTGTTCATGGAGGCAATTAGCCACACATTCTATATCCTCCTCCTATTCCTGACTTTCCCTCCTCTCTTGCTCCAGGCAAATAGAGACCAATTCCTAGACTTTATTTTTATATCCAGACATAAATCCATTTGAAACATGTCTATCAAGATCTCACTTCAATTGAAAAATTCAATTTTTCTCCCAAACACAGAGTAAAACTAAAACCAAATAATTTGCATACAAGAAATATCAGAGGTATGTCTGATATTATCACTATGATTTCTGATTTTAAAGAAGAAGAAAAAAAAGATGATTGCAGAATAATTAAAATGTATTCCCCCTCCACTATAGTTCTTAGTGCTACTAACATTCCTCATAGAAAGTTATGGCTAGAGAGAATTCATTACAAGCCAGAATTACGCCGGATGCTTTGAGTATAGGATGATCCTAAGGCTCACTTTAATAATACCACCAGCATTTCCATGGCAAAGTACTTCTAATGAGGGCTTTGCTATTGAGAATTGATGTCTTCCTTTAGTTCTTTTGTCAAATGGATAGCAGATGTCCCTAAAAATCAATAAAATGACAAGAAGTGACCACTGGGTTAATTCCTATTAAGATGGCTATAACCACTTTATGGGTTGGTGGGTGTGAGGGAGCAGGGGCACAGGGAATGGAAACAATATAAGTCATTTTATGTTAAATACCATTTTCTCTTAATCTTGGTGGTGAAAAAGCCTCTGCTTTTCTTAACCCCACCAAACGTATTTACATACATATTTATACCCAGAGAAAGTAATACTGACACAACCAGCTCACTCTCCCTAAATCTACATTTTGCAGCAACTATACTCTAAAAATAGAAAGTGGCTTTTAGCATTTGGTTTACTATTCCATTTAATCAGCATAAATATCTTCAGGAACGGAAATGACATTTTACTTGTCAAAATCTAGATACCTTCCTCAAATAAGGATGGAGGATTTAAGAAGAATTTGGAATCATTAGGATATTAAAACCACCACCACAAAAAACAACCCTTAGTGATAGATGTGATACTACCATTGAAGACATCAGTAGGGTTTTTTTCTGTCATAGTTTATACCTTTTTTTTAAAAAAACTTTCCTTTAATCACATCTAATGTGAATGCTGTTGCATTCTCCAACAGCATAAAACCAGGACGAACAGATGTGTAGACTTACACAGTACTGTTAGTAACAGTAGGCCCTGAAGTTGCTTTGTTATAGTCTATTTCTTACTTAATAATTTGCTCCACAGACATTTTTGGAACATTAAAAAAGCAAAGGGAGGTTCCTTTTGCAACATTCAACAGTTATCTGATTATTCTCTTGTCTGTTCTCTCAATAGGCCAGGAGACTTTTTCTGATGCTTTCACCAATTCCTTACGTAAGGTTGCAGCATCAAACCCTGCCTAGCTTCGGGAGGAGGAGGGAGAATCACCATGAGCGCAAAGCTGATTCCTATGAGGTAGACGTCTGACATACCTACACTCTCCAACCTTTTTACCAGTTCTGACACCAGCTGTCCTCCCCACAGTACTCTCTACTTCTCTGCTGGATTCGGTAATTCGTAGCAGTGGCCACATGGAACTCACAGATGATACTCATGATTTTGTGGTTTATTAGGAAAGTAATGGGTCACAATTCAGGATCAGGGTCAACTTGGAAGTAACCAGATACAGGATACAGTCTGTCAATCAGGATAGCTTCCAACCAAGATAGCTCTCAATTCCTTCTTGGTCATGCCTGCAAGCAGGTTATGCTCAGGTCTCTGCTGCTGGGCCCTGCTTGGCCTGGCCTCTGCCCTGCTCAAGCAAGTGTTACAGCTCCTTAGCTCCACCTACACATGCCCAGAGGTATCCTACCCCACCAGCAAGCCTCCTGTCTGAAGGTGCTCAGTTCTCTCAGCTCCATGGGCTGGCAAGCCCCCCTGCAGCCATCTCTCACCAGTTTCCTGGTTCCTATCTTCTTACACCACTAGCACTCTTGCCACTGCCACACCGTCTCTTGCCCTCTTACAGCTCTCTCTCTCCTGGGTCTAGGAAGTTCTCAGCATAGGACCCTAGGTCTAAAGGATGTGCTCTGCTCCTGGCTCTTCTTCTTGATGGTAGTGAGGTCCTGCTGAACCTCTGTGAGACTGGCTCTTTTATAAGACTACTTCTCCCATCAAGACCATGGACTGACCAATCCCCTTGGTAGGCTACAGTCACTTTATTTGCATAGTAAACTGACCAATCCCTGCAAGGGTTTTATACACCTTATTTGCATAATAAACTGTCCAATCCCTTTGCAACATTGTGGCTTAGCAAATCATCTTGGCAGAACAACAAACCCAGAGCCAGAAATGTCATATATAAAGAGAAACTCATTACACTGCACCTTATCTAAAGCTTCATGTTGAAGGTATATCAAGTAATCTCTTAAGAAACACTGTATGGTGACATTGGATATGTTAATAAATGAAGGGATGTTATGGTATAGAAAGTGAACATCTTGGATTAACCAAAGTTAAGTAAGAAAAATGAGATCCTGTCATTTTTAAATACCATGAAATATCTTTTTATATGTTAAATGTGATCAGAAAAATACTATACCAAGTTTACAATCTCAAAGAGAGCAGCTGAGGGAGACAGCATGCAAATGAAATATAACATTTCTAAAGCAACCATCTTTTTGACCACCAAATATATCCTCTGGCTTAAATATCAGATCATTTATTCACCTGAAAAATCTAAGTATCTGGAAGAAACTTCCCCCCATCCCAGAGGTCAAAAAATATTAAGTCAGAGTTTATAAACCCAGTACATACCTCTATGTAAAATCTTTAAACTCCACAAATAGGTAAGGCCTTTAACAACCTAAATTTAGGGAAGAGAAAACAATATAATTATTGTTTTTATAGAGAATTTTCCACATTTCAAATATATAATCATATCAACCATAATTCTTCCTTTAAAACTCAGACAATAAGCATTTATCAAGCATCTCCCATTTCTGTTCCAGGCTCTGTTGGAATGCCAAACATATAAGCCATAGGTTCTTTCCTTTAATGAGCTTACAATGTTCTGAAGATAAGGTACCTGGAATGAAAGAAACAAGTATATGTGCATATAAGATGATCTGGAAGTATGTATACTAAACTCTTAGTGGTGGTGCGGGTGAGGGAGGAGCAGAACTAGAACAAATGGGTAAAATCTTTCACTTTTTATTTTCTACACTCCTATATTTGAATTGTTAAAAAATCATGACATTTATGACCAAGGCAAGGTATTTTAAAATAGTGAACTAATGAAATAAGGCAGCAAATTCCAAGAATCCAGTAGGTGAAATAGACAACCACTTTATCCCACCAGTAGTAAAGAAGGGCTTTACCAAGGTGCTGTGTAAGTTCTTGATCCAACCAATGTGAGAAAAAGGGAAGAAAGCGTTCAGGCCAAGGTAAAAATGTATAATCAGCGTTGGGGCGGTGTACCCTTAAAAAATATCAAGGTCATAAAGACGAAGACACTATTCTAGATTAAAGAAGACTGAAGAGACATGACAACTAAATGCAATGTATAATCCCTAGACTAGATGCTGAAAACCAGAATTTTTTTTCCTTTTGGGTATAAAGGATATTATCGAATAACTAGCAAAAATCTGAATAAGGTCTGCTGATTAGATAATTATTAGTTTCTTGATTTTGATCATTATATAATGATTATCTAAGAGACTATCCTTGTTCTCAGGAAACATACCTGAAGTATTTAGGGGTAAAGGGCCATGATGTCCAAAACTTATTCTCACATAGTTCAGGGAAAAAAAAAAACCTCAACAGGTATATAGATTTTTAAGCAAATGTGGTAAACTGTTAATAATTAGGGAATCTTGGTGAAGCATTTGTGGGGTTCTTTGTACTATTCTCATAACTTTTCTATTAGTTTTAAATAATTTCAAAATAAAAAGCTACCAAGATTTTTTTTTTTTTTGAAAAAACACTGGGGTAGGAAAGAACAAAGTTATTAAGATAATCATCATAAGTCAGTCTGGCATAAAGTACATATGTGAAACAGTCATTTAGATAATATTGAAAAGGTAGGTCAAGGAAATAAAATGAAAAAAATACAAACATCCTAATTTGGATTTGGATTTTTCACTTTAATAGCCTGAGTCAAGACTAATTAGTCAAATGAAACACTGGAAAAAATCCTTCCAAGACCCTAAGTACATGGGCTACAAGAGCTACTTTCTATATGAAAATTTAATCAGTGGACATCATTAAAACTTTAAAAATCCTTCTATGGAAACTTCTGTAAAAATAGATGCAGATGCTTTATTCACAACTATGGACTTTGCATGCACATGAATGTGAACTTACAAATTTCAAAGATGACTTCACAATTAGGTACCAGATATAATGAACAAACTACTATATCGCTCAAAATTCCTGTAAGAATTTAGAAGTACCCATCAGTACAGAAAATTTTAGGTCAGTTAGGGCTATAAGATCAAGAAAGCTATCATGACGAGAAGTAACTGAGTCATTTACATAACTTGAAAATAATAAAGGGACTGGGGGTTAAACATGTAAGGATTTTAGTTGATCGATACAGACTAAGAGCAACAGTAAAGGATGGAAACACAAAGGGAGAAAACCAATTTCCAAATATCTCACTGAAGATCGAGAAGACAAAATCTATTATCAGTGAATGCTGGGCAGAGGTTAACATATTTTAAATGTTCTCATAGAGTGGAATGTACTTTTGAAAGACTTGCTAATATGGTATGATCAATTCCACCATAAGCATGTATATTCTAAGAGACCAGAATAAATCTTTACAGCACACGATTTCTTCCAGAGTTTGAAATATTTGGCAGTGCAATAAAACACACATGTGCCAGACAGTAAGGCAGTAAAAAAGAAAGTATCATGACATTAATAAACTCAAAATATTATTTATAAAATTAAATAATATGATTAACTTTATCACAGAAGGAAACAGGACAAAATATTCCTTTTAACACTTATAAAACAATAACTTCAATAATGAACACAATTTTCTCTTTGAGAAGCAGCAAAAGGTCATCTTATTTAGCATGAAAATAAACCATCTTCTGAGTTCTGGGAGTATGGTTAAACTACTCAACTTATAAGCTCATCTATATATATAAAACCTGCCTGTTAATAGCACATCACTAAAAATTGGTCCCATATAGAATGCATCATCAGAAAACAGACAAGGGGAAGGCAATCTACCATATACAGGCTGTCAGGCAGAAAAACAGTAAATACTGGTTTTATGATTATTGCTTAAATTATAAATTTTGTTAGAGGTTTAAAAAGAAAATATTATCCTCCTATTTTTGTTACAAAAGACTATATTTTCCTTTTAGAGGCATATAAGTATCCGTGTACAAGGGAGCTAAAAATCTGTCCATTGCAAATCTAAGGAGTATTATTGGTATTCAGTAGGCTAGGCTTCACAACAATGACTTGACAAAGCCTTGACACTAACAGTACTTATATCTGCTGTCAATCAGTCACTCCTTGACATGTCAAGCACACATCCTTTCAGGGACAACTTCAATCAACATTAGCACTCAAAATACAGTACACAGTGTCACTGCTTCAGAAATGAGAGGAAAAATAAAATGTGTTAGGTGACAAGGAAAGGCAGAATGGCATTCCTCTTTATAGGAGACCAAATTCAAATGGAAAGTAGAAAAAAAAAAAAAATCACTGAGCAAGTTGGAAGGCTGAAATCAGCTAGTTTATACGGATTTCTTCTTCTGGGAAAAATATTCTCTTGCCATATCCTACAACAGAAAATTTGAACAACATGTCATACATAGAGGCTGACAGGGGTCTATCCTGTAATGAACCTTGGATCTTTGGACCAGACTTGCATGCCAGATGATTAGAATCTGGAAAATAAAAATTTAGGGGAGGGAGGCATACCTAGATGTGGTTGTAACACATGAAAAGAATATGAAGCAATCTCATATGTTATTCCATTAGTCTTCCATTTTTTCTTCTGTCTCTCTTTTTTCTTTCCTTTTTATTCTGTGTTTCCTTTTCATTTCCTCCTCCTTCTTTTTTCTCATTGTCTTAGGAAAGCAGAGTACAAGAGCCTGGGGTCTAGAGTTAGACAGCCCTGTGTGTAAATTACTACTAACTAGTTATATCACTTAGGGCAAGTCTCTTGCATATTTGTAAATACGTTCAATAATCCATACTTTACAGGGTTGTTGTAAAGACTAAAATGACATAATATTTGTACACAAAGCATCTAATAGTGATTGGCACAAGGAAGTATTTAATACAGACCTGATTCCCTCCTTTCTCCTTCTGATTCTTTGCTTCTGACTTAGCAATGGCACCTATGCACTTTCTGAGCCTCGCTAAGAGAACTCAAGGGAAAGATGTTCATATTGTCTTCAGAACACTATACAAGGATACTGGGAACCCAACCAGGCCGTAAGGACATTTATTTTACCCAATTTGCTAGGTTTATTTTGATTGTTACAATTCTCCCACTGTCAGGCATTAGCCGTGTGTCAATCTAGGGTCTGTCAACTACCACAAAGGATTATTCAAGTTTGTAGCCTCTAGAATACACAAAAAGAATATACTTTGGAGGCATTACACTAGCTTAGGCCCTGGCAGAATTTATAAAAAGTAATAGAAAAAGAGAAAAATTATCAAAAGCACTTCTACTCTAGTTATTGTCAGTTTTCCTTGCTGACATGGTAAGCCATAAAAGCCAGAGAAACTGAACATTTTAGAAACAGGGGGAAAAAAACCCACACACAAACACTAATTTAAAAAAAGAAAGTGAGGATTAGTATAAACAATGCTCTGGACTAGCTCTTATTTTAAATGTCTTTCACTAAGATAATTATTTTCTATTACTCAGTGGGCAAGCCCTGTATTTGAAGCAGATTATTTTTTTCTGCTGACTCCATTCACTTCACAGGCTTCACACCCCAGCAGAACTGAAAAGACCAGTGGCCTTGTGTGTATGCCCTACTCAAGAGGGAGGTAAGATTTATGAAGTATAGGAAGAAGATACTTCCCTACTGAAGAAGGCAGATTTCTATTTTTGCCAAGTTCAGTAGACAGGTAATTGAGTATACAGAACTTATATATACTTTTTTCTTTTTCAGTTGGTATCCTTGCCTTTTTTCACCCTTTATTATACGTGTTATTAAACTTTAGAGGCAAGAACTGCCAAAAGCCACAAAGCATTCATTCCCCCAGAGATTAGAAGAAGAAATGAAACATTTTTATTTTCATCTAAAGTAGTGATTTAAGTACTCAAATTTCATACTAAACTAATCTACCTAAACATGCAGATTAGAAGCTACTTAACAGCAAAAGCATCAGAAAAGAAAGTTTTCATCACCCTGGGAAGTTCACACTAATAATTAGAAAGAAAAAAGGAAAGCTGTGAATTACAATGAACTAAGACTAAATAAGTGTCCATGTTGGATTAAAGGATTTGAGTTGTCAGTTTGATGTATAATGAACGTGAAAATCAGCCATTTAATTAAATGGTACATCATATAATCACTTTGTTCTGCATTAAACTGCTTAAGTTATCAGAGTGCCTTTAGTTTAGCAATTGTTTACTATTACACCACCCTATGACCTCTCTTAGACACTGTTTGGCCTACATTGTCCCAAATCTGAAATCTGGATCTGATATAGTATTGTTTGGTGTAGTTGGTATTTTTCAATAATTTACTAGCAAACAGAAAATAGAAAACTGTTTTCAATGATACAGGGAACAAATTCCTAGATAGAGTTGATAAAAAAGATCTTAAAAACCAGTAACATTAAAAAAAAACCTGTAAAAATCATTAAGAACAAAGTAGTATTTTTCTTTGACTGTTTATTTTAATAACATAAATTTTAAAAGCATTTTCTAATCATATGCCTATAACTACAAAATATCTAATTTTTTTTTTCTTTTTGAAGAATTTGGATATTTTATTAGTCAACAAGAACACTAAGACCCCAGCAAACACATGAAATTGAAATAGGTCAGTGTACCCCTAAGTCTGAAGGATGTTATATGACTATGTCATTACCATAGGCTGGTCTATGAAAAGAAGAAAAGATAAAAATAATAACAGCAGAAGAGAGTTGAAAAGGTCCTGGCAGCCAACAGTGACTGCAGACAAAAGGGGGGAAAAAAAAACAAACAAACCTGAGGATATAGGGAAATTAAATCTTGACTAGTAAGATTAAGTCACCCAAATTTCATAAGGTTGAAGCCATATACTCACTGCTACTGCAATTCTTCCAAGGACATGCTCTGGAATTTTTCTATATACATCCAAAGATCCCCCTGTAGAGACAAACATGTTGTGTTACTGCAAATGAAATGCATTCATTGTGTGCATTTTTTTTCTTTTTACATCATAATTGGCTGTCTAGTATAAAACTAGTTTTTAGTTCCAATTTTATTTCTGACATAATCATACTTCCAGATTAAGTATAATGAATACTTCTACTTTATCCCCAAGTGTATATCACATATAGGTAAAATTGGAAGGAAAAGTAAGAGTTCTGTTATACAACTTGAAGAACGTAATCAATGAATCAGTGTCACTAAATGGTATATGTAGAAACTGTTTGAATTGGTGTATGTTTTCCTGTGTGTATTCTCAACAACAAAATAAATAAAATTTAAAGAAAAAAAAAGAAAAGTAAGAGTTCTAGTAAAGGGTAGGCTAAGAAGCTATACTTTATGTAAACTTAATACATACATAAACCTATAAAGATAAATACAGCAATCACATTTAGGTCTCTGTCTTGTGTACTAGTTTTTTCAAATGTAAACCAGGGCCCTATTTTAGAATTTTCTTATTAACCAAACAAAAGCTGGTGAATAAAAAGGGCAAAATACACATAAAAAATAATTTTAGGAAGGTGGCAGTGTGAGCAGATTTAAGATCCTGACCCTCCTAACACAAACACCAAGAAAAGCAACTAGAAGTCTATACTCAGACCTTTAAGAACTCTGAAATGGTGGGCAAAGGACCACAGCAAGGACTGCAAACTGAATCAAGATAAGGACAAATCTCATATGGCAGGAAAAGCACTTCTTCTACTGTCCCTAGCCCTCTCCCTTCTAGTGCAGCAGAAGGACAGCTGCAATGGAGTTTCAGCCACACCCTCACCCAATGCATGGCTCTCCTGTGTACTGGAAAGGGCTCCAATCTCTGGCTCTGAAATAAATAGGACAGATCTTGCTAGCAGACTTTTTAGGGTGTATATTCTGATGAGTCTAGAGATAGTCTGAAAGACTGAAACTTCAGTCTGGCCAGAATCAGAGCTTTCACAGAGCCGGGAAGGGAGCGGTGGCTAAGGACTGAGGGCTAAAGCTGCCAGAGAGTGATTTAATCAGTGTGTGCTTTCTGATCAGTTTGGGAGATGCTAAAGGACTGAAACCTTGGTCTGGTTGGAAGCAGAGCCCTCACAGAGCAAGGGGGGAGTGGTAACCAAAAACTGAAGGCTGCACTCCCCTGAGGCAGATTACTTAGTGTGTTTTCTGATTTGTCTGGGAGCTACTGAAGGACTGAAACCTTGGTCTGAACTGAGCTGAAGATATCACAGGAAGGGAGAGGGAGTGGTAAGAAAAGTCTAATGGGTATGCCTGTCTAAGAGTTTCTTGCAGAAATTAGCCCCATCGAACACACCATGTATTTGGGGGAACTGAGAAAGCTAGGAGTCCTGGTGGTGCAATGGTTAAGCATTCGGCTGCTAACCAAAAGGTCACCAGTTCGAATCCACCAGCTGCTCCTTGGAAACACTATAGAGCAATTCTAGTCTGTCCTATAGGGTTGCTATGAGTCGGAATTGACTCTATGGCAATGAGCAAGAAAGCTAACATCTTGTAAAATTTTAATCTCCTGATTTAACAACAACAAAAAAAATCACAAGGCACATAAAGAAACTGGAAATGACGGCCCATTCAAGTGAACAAGATAAAGGGAGAGAAATCATATTTATGGAAGCCCCAGTGATGAACAGATTGGAAGAATATAATACAACAGTTTTAAACAAGCTCAAAGAACTAAAGAAAAACATGGACAAAGAACTAAGAATATCAAGAAAATGATACATGAACAAAATGAGAATATAAATAAAGAGGTAGACACTACAAAAAGAAACAAAACAAATACTGAACTGGAAATACATCATAACAGAAATTTTAAAAAATCAATGGAAGGATTTAAAATCAGATTTGAGCTGGCAGAAGAAAGAATCAGCAATCTAGAGGACAAGGGAATCAAAATTATGAAGGCTGAAGAGCAACAGGAGAGAAGGCTCAACTCTGCTGAGAATAGCTAATGGAAATATGAGATACATCATTGGAATCCCAGAACAGGAGAGGAGAATGAAAAGAACAGAAAGAATATTTGAAGAAATAATGACAGGAAGTTTCCCAAATCTGACAAAGGACATGAATTTATAAATCTAGGAGCTCAATGAACTCTAAGAAGGATAACCTCAAAGAAATCTACACTGAGACACATTATAATCAAGCTCTCAAAAACTAAAGATAACGAGAGAATCCTGAAAGCAGCAAGAGAGAAGTGAATAGTCACACACAAAGGATTCCCAATAAGATTAAGTGTCAATTTCTCCTCAGAAACCTTGGAGGCCAGAAGGCAATGGAATGACATATTAAAGTGCTGAAATAAAAGAACTGTCAACCATGAATACTATATCTGGCAAAACTGTCCTTCAAGAATGAGGGTGAAATTAATAGACACTAATAGACATTCCCAGGAAAACAAAAGTTCAGAGGGTTGTAAACAGTAGACTTTCTCTATGATAAATGCTAAAAAGAGTCCTTTAGATGGGAAAGAAAGGCCACTGGACAGTCATTCAAAGTCAAACAAAAAAGAAAAGATCTCCATTAAAGGTAATTCCATGGGCAAATATAAGAGCAAGTTTAAAGATATTTTTGCTTAGTAATTCTAGTTGTTATGGTCTTCATGCTTTATAATGACAAATGCATAAAAAAGTATAAATATACGTTACAGCGCATATGATTTATAATGTCTCATAACGTAGTAACATGGAGCATATTATTCTTTTAAAATACAGTTAAGTTTATTTTGCAAATACAAATATTTTTATATGTCAAGTTTTCCTACAGCTGAACACCAGATAAAAAGAAATTAAAGAATTTTTCCTTGTGAAAGTATCGCATATTATATATGTGTATATATATAAAAAAAATCTGTTGCTGTCAAGTCGATTCCAACTCATAGTGACCCTATAGGACCGAGTACAACTGCCTCATAGCGTTTTCAAGGAGCAGCTGGTGGATTCGAACTGCTGACCTTTTGGTTAGCAGCTGAACTCTTAACCACTGAGCCACCAGGGCTCTCCCTCTCTCTATATATATACATATGTGTGTGTGTGTGTGTGCGTGTATATATATATACACATATATACGTGTGTGTATATATACATATGT